TCAAGTGTTAATAAAATTCTTTCGATAAATAAAAACTTTAAACCTAAATAAAATACATACTCGCCAAATCGTATTTACGCCTCTATTCAAGCCTTGAAATTGACATAGCACGAGAATTCTGGTCTTCTAGCAACAGACTCGCCGTTTTCAAACTCAACATTGTAAATATAATATGATCCCTTCCATTTGGGTTCTAACTTATGACTGCATGTTCCCAAATTCCTGGTGTTTAGCACTAAGTCTTTAGTGGCTTTGAGCTGTCGATCGTGACACTCTTTCTGTTTTTGTTACTCTGCACTAATTCGGCTTAGCACTCTATCATGGGCTTCAGGTAGATCATGCTCTATTTCATATAGTCGTTAGATAATTGTATTATGCAACAAGTTCTTGGGAGTACTAGGATGCAAGAGCAACTGGGCTTTTTGCCTGTAGATCAGGTAAAATGGCATTTCTTGGGTCATGGCTTGTTTTGCAGTATGGTAAGAGAATAGTATTGATAGTATCAATAGATTCTAATCAGTCACATTTGTTATTAATTTCGATATCAATTTACACAGAGTTTTGTTGAAGTGTTCTATGAGACTATTTGTCTGTAGATAGTACAGTGTAGATAGATGGCACTTGGTGTTTAAAGCCACTAAGAGCCCATCTATTACATGATTATTAAAGTGCGATCCTTTGTCAGATAATATGATGCTTGGGCATCCATGTCTGCATATGATGTTCTCATAGATAAACTTCACCACTTCTTCTGCATTTGCTTTTAAAATTGCATGGGCTTCTGGCTATTTAGACATATAATCGATTGCTACTATGATATATTTATTTAATCATGGTGTAATAGATAATGGCCTGACTATATCTATTCCTACTCTGTGGAATGGGGCTTGGATGAGAATTGGGTAGAGTGGTTCCTTTGATCTTCTGTCACCATATATCTGGCATTTCTCACATGTTTTGACATACTCAAGTATGTCATTATATATTTGAGGCCAGTAATAATGCTTACGAATCTTATTGAACATGATATTTTTTTCCAAAATGGGCACCTAAAGAATAATCGTGGGATAGAGATAATATTGTCTCTAATTCTCCTTCTTGTAGCACCTTTATTGGATTCTTTGGAGCCTTCTTATTTTTCTTGTATAATATCTCATTTTTTACCAAGAAAAATCGTCCTTGCTTCGTTAGCCATCTTTGTTGTCCTTTGTGATAGTACTGTGGGTACTGCCAGTGCTAAATGTAATTCTTCAATGCTTGGTATAGTTGTGGATCCATTTTTTTAAAAAATTTAGTAGTGTTTGTTGTTTGTTTTTTCTTGATTTCGCCAGAATACTGACGACCTGGGCTGGATTGAGCTTAACATCAGGTTTTCACGATTGAAGTTTGTTGAGTAATTTTCTTGAATCTTGGTAGGTAAAACTTCAAATTCTTTGTATTTAAAATTTCAAACTCTAGATCCAAAACCTCTTAGTAGTAACTATGGGTTCTTTAACGTTTTAATTTGTATGTTTCTTTCGATTTTCGCTCCAATTAGATTTAGTAATTCCTATTGTTTCTTATTCCCATTATCCTTAAGCGTTTTCTTTTTTTTTTTTTTTTGAAAAACTGGTAGTAATAGCTTTCCTGGTACCAATAATTCAATACTTTTTTTAAGTATTCTTCCTAGGAGTTTCTCTGCTGTCGGTAATTTTGCCATGCTAGATAGTGAAACTTTTTGAGTCTTTTTCTAAGGCAGTTTTGCTGCGTTGTTTTAATTCCTCATGTTTTTCGATTTTTAGTATTGAGTAATTTCATCAATGTTTGGTCTTGTCAACTCCAATTCCGTTTTGATGGCAATATCCATCGTTATTGTGGATATGCCAATCATTATGTTTGGATTCCTTCGTGTTGGAAGGTTCTTTGGTCTTGAGTTTTGTTCAATCAGTGATGATACCCTGTTTTCAATATCTATTTTCGGGCTTCAATGTTCGAAGATAAATAGGTAGTAAGTATATATATTTTTTCTTGAATAATTTTCCTGGTGTATACAAAATTTCTTTCGTGGAAGGCTAACTTCATTGTATAGCTATCCTCTTGGTCTGGGGTAGGATCTCAGTAAATAGGTTATGGTTTTTCTTTGAATAGGGCCCCACAACTCGCCCTATCCAATCCTAACCAACTTTTCTCTAATGTCAGGTCTGTTAATGAAGAGGGAAAAAAAGTCTAAGACATAGAAAAAAAATAAAAAGAAATTTTAGTGGTCCCACAAGCCCATGGTCTGTAGAACTTAATATAATACTGAATGATTCCAACGTATCCAACAAATATTAATACTATCAAAGGGAAGAAAAGTTTTAGAGTTTTTTTTTTTTTTTTTGTATATATATTTCATAGTTCTATTTTTCTCATTAGTCAAAAGTTCTGTCCCAACCATATCCCGTGTAGATTAATTAATTCTTTGCAGGGTGAGTATTATTTTTCACAAAGAATCATAGTGCTCCCGATTAATATATTCATTCATTGATTGGGAACATTCATTTTCTTCGATGTCCATATCTGAGAAGTCCGAAAACAGGTCATTTTGGTCAGGCTCATTCCAATTTTTATTGAAGTGAGGATAGGAGTCATAATTTTCAGAGGTGAAGATGTTTTCTTCAAACTCTAGTCCATCAGCAGCTTCACCCCAATGGGGTATATCAATTAGGTATACTTCATTGGTATTCATCAGTTGTAACTCATTTTCAGGATTATTAGTACTTAACAAACTATTCTGGTATTCATTATCTTCTGCCCAGGTTATTTCGATTCTTGCCTCCATGGCTAGTTTGATTAGGAGGTTTTGAAAATTTATTTTTCGCACCATTACGCTAGTAGTAAGTTCTTCGTCCTATTCATACTCTTGTTCTGTATTCTCATTAGTGTTTTCAGTATCTACTTCATCATATTCCCATTCACTATCTTCTGTACTAAGGTTCCAAGGAATAGTATCTACTTCCTTGTCAGAACTATCGATGAAATATTCTTTGGCAATTGCTCTGAATATTTCAATTTCTTCTACTACTTCAGCTTCTTGTATTTCAGAGATTTCTTCAGCAAGTTTGTTAAAGCCTTTAGTATTTCTCATATCTGCTGCTTTTTGATGGTAACCAGCTATTTCACAGTTATTTCTTTTCTTTATAGGTGGCTCTTCAACTATATGAGATAAAGCATCTGCATTTCTATAGACTCTTCCTGCCCTGTGTATAATAGTAAAATAATAGAGTTGTAAATATAGAATCCAGCGAGCTCTTTGTCCTTTCAACGCCGAATTTTGGAGCCACTTCAAGGCTAAATGATCTGTGATAATAATGAAGAGTTTGTATCCCAAATAATGATGAAAGTATTCTACCGCCCAGACCACAGCATAACATTTCAATTTTGTGACTATATAGTTTCTTTCAGAATGGGTAAGGCTTTTGCTCACGTAGGCAATAGTGTATTTCTTTTTGTTCTCATCTTTTTGTGCAAGTACTGCACCTAGATCTACACCGGACGCATTAGTATGTAAGTAAAATGGTTTCTCAAAGTCCGGGTATCTTAGGACTGGGGTGGTGGTTAGGTGGGTTTTTAGATCTTGGAAGGCTTTTTCTTGTTCCTGGCCCCAATTATATAGTGTGTCTTTTTCTAGTAGCTTGTGTAGCGGTTTTGCTACTTTAGCGAAGTTTCTTATAAATTGTCGATAATAAGAGGCTAGGCCTATAAAGCCTCTCAATTGCTTTAGATTAGTTGGTGTGGAGAATTCTTGACCTTAGCTACTTTCAATTTGTCAGGCCTAATGCCTGTTTTTCCTACGGTATGGCCTAGGAAATTAATGTTATTTCTTAATAATCTGCATTTTTCAGAGTTAAGTTTTAATCACGCCTTGGCTAGTTTCATTAGAACATCTTTGAGGTGGGTCAAATGTTTTTTGAATGTTTTTGAGTATATTATTATGTCGTCTAAATATACTGCAACATTCTTTCCAATATTTTCATAGAAGAGGTGGTTTATTGCTCTCTGAAATGTCGCCGAGGCATTACACAGGCCGAAAAGCATCACTGTGAATGCGTAAGTGCCTTGTTTAGTGACAAAGACCGTTTTTTCCTGGTCCTTTCTGTTCATACCAATTTGCTAGTATCCACTGGCTAGGTCCAAAGAGCTAAACCATTCTACTTTTCTAAAAGTTTCTAGCAGATCATTGATTTGAGATAATAGGTATGCGTCTTTCTTTGTAATGGTGTTTAGTTTTCGATAATCAATGCACAAACAGAGTTTGCCATTTTTCTTGGATATAATGATGACAGGTGAGGTCCAGGGACTCTTGACCTTATATATTAACCTATTGTTTAATAGTTTCTCTATTTCTTTATTTAAAAAGTTTTGTTCGTTCAGAGCGATCCTATAGGCTGATTGGTTAATTGGTCGAGCCTTACTAGTGTCTATTTCATACTCTACTTCGTTGTACTGGCCCAATTGATGCAATCCAGAGGTGAAAAGTTCTTGGAATTCTTCCAACATATAAGTTGCTTCTTCTTTTTGTTTTTCAGTTAGAGCTTTTGTTGGTACTAATTGTTTAATGATTTCTCTAGAGTTTTGTTTGTTTGACTTCTCTTCTTCCAAGATTGGGAGCTTCTCTATGGCCGTTAGGTATACTGCAGGGCTATTTTCTTTCAAATACTTAATGTTTCTCCTTTCTTCTATTACGGAATCATCTGTATAATAACTTTCTGCTTCTTCTAGATCTTGTTCTTCCTCATACTGGTTGAAGAAATCATTTTCATTGTTTTCGTGGCTTTGAGGTGGCTCCAGTTTTCCTTCTTTAGCCTGATAAATAGGTACTTCTATACATTTACCTAGGTACCTCAAGAATAGCTTTTTATCATTGAAATGGAGGTGAGTAAAAACTTTCTGGAACCAATCCATCCTGAGAAACATCATCTCTTTGGAGTTTTCAATCATCTGAAAGTCAGTAGGTATTAACGCATCTTGTATGGCTAGTCTTATTCCTACTAACTTTCCTAGAGCTTTTTTTCTAGTTCCGTTGGTAGTAATTATGACAGTATTAGAAGGCTCAGCTATAGTGAGTTTTAATTTTTTGGCTAATTTCATCAACATTATATTAACTGCAGCTCTGGAATCTAGTACAGCCAATATAGGGTTGTTTTGAATCTGGATATAACATTTCATTGTGGTTAGTTTGATTATCTACGAAGTTAGTGACTTCTACTGGGGTAACTATGAGGTGCCTTAAGGCTTGTGATAAGTTTTGCCTTTGTTTGGGTACTTGCAGTAATTGACTATAAGTAGCATTGGCCCATTGGTTTAGTAGATCATTAGCTATATTGTATGGCAGCAGTAAGTCAACCACAGAAGCTGCTCTTTTGTGCCTATTTCAACTATTTGTTTCAGGTGGCGGTTGGGTTGGTATTTGGGTTACTTCTTCTATAGGAGTGGGTTGAGTTGGTAGTGTGAGGTGATTTTGGTCAGTTATGACCCTTTTCTGAAGCCTTTTATCCCAATTCACTTCGGTTTGGGTCTTCGCTTCATAGCGTAGGCTTCTTCAGATTCAATGTCACATAAATTAATATTTCTTGGGTGTACCCAGTTTCTAATTGGGCTTACATGGGTTCTTCTAGCATTCTGTCTTTCAGAAAGGCAATTTCGGGTGATGTGGCCTCCTTTACTGCAGTTATAGCACTCAATTTTACTATTTCTGGATTGCCGGGGCGGGTAAGATCTGTTTATGAGTAAGTGCGAGCTTTGTTCAGTTTGGGCAGCAAGTGCAGTAGCTAATTTTTCATAATTCGTCACTATCTGCTGCATTTTAGTTGTTAAGTCTTCGATGACTTGATTGCTGGGTTCTTTACTCTTTTCCTTTTCATAGTAGCCTCCAATTTCTATTCTTCAGGCTTTGGAGATTACTTCGTCTAGGGTCTCAGGGTCATTAGACAACATTAATGTGGTAATCTTTTCTCGGAGGCCTCCTAAAAACATTCTTACGATGTACACAGTGTGAATTTCTTTATCAGGGTTGACTCTTTTAAGTAGTCTTTTGAATTAGTAAGCATAGCGGTCTACTTTTTCCATGATAGTATGAAGCTAAGTTTCTTGTTTTTTTTACCATCTTCGTCCCAAAGGATGAGGCCTTTCTTATTATCATGATACCAGCTAGCTGCAATTCTGGATAAATGGCCCAAAGCAATTTTTATTTTTCTTACCGGGGTCCAATTATTCACATTAGCTGCTCTTTCGAATACTTCGATCCACTCTACAGGGTCTTCTTTTTCTTTGCCCTTGAAGGTCTTTACATGGACCCAGTTATTTTCACGTGAATTTGGCTAGACATCATACATTGCAACATCTCAGAAGACTTTAGCAATTTCTTTTAGGAGTCAGTGAGTTTGGGCTGGTTGCGCAGAGGCTTGTTCATCTTCATAATTGATGGGTCTATCGTCAATGATTAAACGGTCTTTAATAGCTTCATTCTTGAAGTGGTCCAAGTCTGACATACTGTAAATATCTATTTACTTTTTTTCTTTTTTTTAAGAACTTATAATATGGTTAAGGGTACAAAAGATAGATTACGATGGTAAGAAAAATGTTTCTTTCTTGTATGTGGTTAGAGATGTTCGAATCTCACAGTCACTACCATGTAACTTAATTGTTAAAAGCTAAAACTATGATAATAATAAAGCTAGGATACTAAAACTAATCTATCTACAATTTAAAACCTTAAATGCTTCGATTTGGAAGGCAGAAAGTAGGCGTGAAAAGACTTGGTCCGAGTCTCGAAGCTTTTCAGGTCTTGCTGTGGCTTTCTTGATGGTTAAGATAAGTATACCGTTGGATTATACTTGTTTTGGTTACTAATATACTTTAGCCGGAAGCTAAGTATGTCTTTTTCCAATAGTCAAGATTTGGCAGGTTCCAGTCTTTAATACAATCATTAAGATTCTTAACGATTGTCATGTGGATCCTGTATGATAACTACTGCAGTATTCGGTAGTTTAATATTCCTTACATCACTGGCAAGAATATCAGTAGATCGGAGACTTAATTTGGATTAACATCACGAATAGATATTAGCTGAGGTCGGAAGTTGGATCTTCAATTGATCGATGAGGTCACGGGCTCCTGATGTCACAGGAAATTTGGCTGATCGATGCAATTAATATGCAACAATACTTCGTTCACTAATGCGATTGTTATACTAATTAATGATAACAATGCATCACGAGTAAAGTTAAGTATTTATATAAGAGGGTTTTTATCTTTATTCAATTCTTATTATTTTCTAAAGAGTTGAATGACTTGGGTCAAGATTTTATCAATATGGAACGCAAAGTCAACACTTCTACTCTAATTTCGAAGGTCAAGACTCTATTTAGGATTTATAAGATGTAACTTTCGGTTTTATCAATATTAATGTAATAGCGAAGGGACTATTTGGACGATTTATTTAGGAGCGAAGGAAAAAGATAAGTAACTTCTACTATTATTATTTCGAAGTATAACTTAACTGCCCCTTTATTAAGAAAGAAAAGCTCTCCTTATATAATTATTTTTACATATAATAGAATTCTTCGAATCTACACTATTCTAACTATTTTTGTATAATGAGAATAATTATTATTCTTGCTATCTTTAGGATTCCTACAATCTAGAGAATTTCCAGAATTCCTACAATTCGTACTATCTATGACTACTAAAATAGAAATATCAAGGGCAACAAAACAAAAATTGGACTACTAAGGTCAATCTGCCCCTCATAATGTATATACACAAAGTGATTTAACAATTTAACAATTTAACGCTGTAAATGATTCTATAAAAAGAAAGCATTTCTAATTTGATAATAAATTTATGCCGTATAGTCGTGAAATAACGCACAGAGGTGTAATTTCGAATTTTGTCTAAATTAAGCTTAATTCAGGCCAAAATTCAAAATAATGCCCATGTGCATTATTTCGCGACTATATGGTAAAAAATAATCCTAATCTAATATGTAAGGCCATACAAACTTAATAATTCGGTTTTCATAACATAAAATTTTAAAAGTGACCCGGCAACCCGGCTTTTAATTTTATTTTCAAAAAATTTTATATA